TCCCCTCCTCCTCCTCGTCCTTCTTTCCTTCATCCTTGGCTCCAGACTCCAGTGGGATCTTAATTAAGCCTTGGCTTCATTATGCAAATGGAGTACAATAAACGACAGCAGAGGTGGAGCTGGATCCAGACTGAGACGGAACGGTGGGAGGGGAGCACTGGAATTGGAAAACGAAGAGATGTGGAAGGTTACCAAATCGATTATATGATGTGGCTGCATTACAATAATTGTATATTGTTGTAACATGTTTGTCTTTGGTTAACCACTACCAAACCGTTGTGAGAACCAACATCCCGCTCTGATGCTCCATCTCTGTTGCCATTGGACAAACTTTTCTGAAATAACACTGGATCCGCAGAATGTCATCTCTCACAGAGCAAATTCATAAGGGAATAGTGACAATGAACCCCTAATATTGCCAGTTGGCCGTTGTCGTGGATACGAAGAAAGATGGTAGAGATAGGAAGAGAGAAAAGAGGCAGACAGAAACACTGACAGTGGCAGCAGCATGGCAGCTAATGTCATCTCAGTTTAATCATCGCATGGGATCATGGGGTTCATGAAAATTCATTTGCATATCATTAAATGGAGAGAGGTTATTTGGTGCAGGCAGCCAAAATGGGATTGGATGAAGCTAGAAAAAAGGCAATTGGAGAGGCTCGTTATTAAACAGCAATGTTTTATAGTCCGCCAGCCGATTCATTTAATTTGGGCGTAATTAAAATGTGTCGGACTCAATCAATCATTCCAACGGGGATACTATCAATGTTTCAGTCTGAAAAAAGACTAATCAGTGGATATGTGGTTGGAGATTTTTCCAATAACAGTTTAAGTGCTTTAGTCTACTGTGAGCTTGACCCATCCACTTCTTTACAGTAATTTATCTGAAGGAGTGTATCAAAACATCCATTGTGACTTATCTGTATTATGTCAAGACATGTCTCTCTGACAGGTGGTGATGCCACCTTGTGTTAGTCAATAAGAGGATAGCTCACACTGTCTTTTTGACCTTAGTAGTAAGCTGTCAGTGGTGTGTATGTAGGTGCGTGCATATGTGCATTTCTCATTTGCATAAGTGATGTAATTAGACCGCCCTTTCACATGCAGATCAGTTTGACAACATGGCAATCACTCCAACACACACATACAGCCATACACACTTACACACACAAACACACGCGACAGCACACGCTTACTGCCGTGACCACCCCCATATCATGGGGAGTCTGTTGTCTGTGAGCAGAGAGTGTAAAGATTAACATAATCCAGCTAATAAGTGTGAGTAATATTCACACAGTGACGCGTGGCGTAGACACTGTCCTGCTGATGCGTATTTGTATCTCATTATAGATGTAAAGTACTAAAGGGGGGCCGACGGGGGGTGCCAGTTAGGATGGGGGATGGTGTGGGGTCCCCAAAAAAGTGTGGGCTTGAATGGAGAGACGCCAAAGAATGACAATAAACAGCAGTATTTTGTATAGAGCTATACTATCAAACCTTTCTGCAGCGGTCTGGAGAGTGTGGATATAATATAAAGACAGATTACGCATGGTTCAGATCAGAATAGGATGTATTTTGAATGTTTCCAGACAATCAGAAAGACTATTTCATTCAAATGTATGCTCATTTACAGTACTAAGAAGGCACAGATTGTCAGTTTTTGGTAGCAGAATGGAGGAATTATAAATAGAGAGTATTTGCACTTGCAGGCCAGCTCTGCCAGATGATTGATTAGGACGGTGTGACGACCATTAAAAAGTCATTTAAAAGATGGATAGGGACCACATTTCCAAATAAAAACCACTTTATACCTGATGAAGTGCTGAACAAACTCTCCTTCAAAGACATTTACTGATTACTTTTGGTGTGTGAGTGAGTGTAATGTGGGAAGCACCCATGTACTGAGTATAGCTCTGCATCAGCTGTAGAAGATACCAAAGCAATCTTCAGGAAACAGTCGGTCAGTGGATTGCTGTGGGTGGTTCGCATTTTAAAACTAAAATGAGATCTCATTTTGTTTAGATTAAAGAGGCAGCATAATGTTCATTTGGACATTGATGTAATCTGTCTGCATATACACAATGTCACAAACAGGCTGACACACACACTGATGGAAATGCATCAGATAGCACAGCGTCGCTTTCCACTGAAGCCTTATCCAAAGAAGCAGAGCTGTATCTAAATGTGCGAATGTATTTCAGCTCTGTCTCTTTAACTCGTGGCTCCACCACAGCAGCATGCTTTGGGATTCATGCATAAACATGAGCTGGCCTTTCAGCTCTCTCCTCACATAACCAATCTAAATCTAAATGAGCCCCCACTACAGATACACCAGCAGGCAATGACATTACACCCCCCCAACCCCAGCCCAATCCCCTACTCTGCCCTTCTACCCCCAGCGACACATATACACCAGCAGGCAATAATTTCACGCCATCCCTCAAAGCCCCCCCCCCCCCCCCCCCCCTTCCACCTCCTCTGCACACACACTCGTACCCCTTTTTGCCGCAACCCCACCAGCTGCACAGTACTCATTTGATTAAGAGGGGGAGGACAGGGAGAAGGAGAAATGGTGGGGGATCACTTTATCAGGATGACTTTCTAAGATGGCTATCATCAGCTACGAAGCTATCTAAAGCCCTCTTCTGTGTTTACTTTGCTATTGTTCTCCCTATGTACCCGTTTGTCTGGTCCCTGAAACCACATTCAGAACCGTTTCACAGATTTGTTTTCTCTGTCGCATTCATGTGTAATGGTTAAATGAACAGTTTACTGCTTGAGGGTAGAGGAAACGACCAGATACCAGTTTGTTTGTTTGTTTCCAGACTCTGAGAATTAAAAAGCCATTCTTGATTGTAGTTTTTCCTCTCTGGCAAGTTGTCACATCAACCACTGGAAAGTTTTACCCAAAAATAACCAAATAATAAAACCTGCTCTACTACTCTACCTTGTGCTCTCTGGAATGTTGCATGTGAAAATCTGCTTGTCCTAAATGTGCTGTAGTGTGCAATTTTACACCCCTTTCTCCTAGAGTCGTAAAACACATTATCATCAGCAGCAGAAGCAGCAGTGTAATTCATCTGAGGTCGTTAATATTCATCATATCATTTAGTCACAAAGGAAACTCATCTGGCTGAATGTCACAGATGTAATTAATGAAGTGACCCCAGAGGTCATGGCTCCATTCACCAAACGCCTTCCACACACTGCTGTGTTATACACACACACGGTTTGCACATCAAAAGCCTTCCAGCCAGACACACCGACGTGGAATATACAACCTGGAGTACGATACACTTATAACGTCCTTGCATACCACAACGTTCACAAAATGGCTTCTCTCGGTTAAAACACAGGGATGAGACAAGAGCATGCACCAAAGCAGACTTTATTTAGCTCAGTGGAGTATGGGAAGGGAAAGGAAGAGAAACACACACCAGTAGGGGAGAACTTGGGAAAGGAGAGTATAGAGACACACTAAACCACTGGAGCAGGACATAAGGACAGGTGCACATCACAGGTATCTTTTTGGTCATCACTATGGCAACAACATATCCAGAAAAAAAACGAAAATAATAGTTTTACCTACAGTAAGGTTAACAGAGTCCCTTCACCATAGAGGACCCCAATATGTACATCTTACAGTCACTAAGATCAAGAGAATACGACAGAAATTAAATTGAAATAATCAGTATACAAAAAACTGCCTTTGTGGTATTTGGAATGCACATTTCTGTACAGAAGAAAGCTCATTGGTATTGTCGTAAACATTGGTTAGTTTAAGAACAAAACATGACAGAGTTAGTAAGTGTACATCCTTTGGAAAGTTGGCTGCGATGTCAGTCTAAGTTCAGCAAAGCTGTTTTAGCTGGACAAGTGGACTAGAGACATTACAACACAGAAAGACTGACACCTTACCAGTGGAAGGTCTGGGGCTGAACTCCTTCAAATAGCTTACAGTATCTCCATAAGTATTGAGAAGCTAATGCCCTAAGCAGGTTTCTTTAAAACTGGAAGCTTGAAAAAATATTTCTGGTATTAGGAAAGCCATTTTTATCCTTTGAGTAGGAGTAATTAATATGATACTGAAAACACAAACCTGATGGAATTGAGCCCCACATATCTCTTTGTTTTAAAACAGAATAACAGAGGAGCAGTTTATCAACAGCATCACAGGTATCATTACAGTTTGTAGTCATTAAAGCCTAGTGGTAAAGCGATCAGAGCATGCATCTTTCTACAGTATCATTAGAAACTACAGTACATTAGCAGCAAACTGGACATCCTTAAGGGCTGAAGTTCAACACTATGGTAAAAAAAGAAAGAAAAATAAACTGCAACATTTCTCAAGAGAAGTCAAACTCTTTAACCGCTATATTACAGACTGCCATGGCTCTAGTTTGGGGTTTTGGTTACAGTCTCCAGTGTGCTTATGAGAGGCAGAAAACAGTAGCTTAGATATAGGGACTCCTTCCATCTTTAAAAACAGCAATACATCGTCAAGTAAACAGTAGCGCTTATTTTTGTAGGTCATATGGTTAAAGTATTATCACGTCTTTGGATTTTTGTCTTAAAGCATTAATTATTGTTTAGCTATTATTGTTATATTATCATTATTACAGTTAGAATAAGGACTGGTTGCAAATGAACACAGGAATAAAGGTAGAGAGCAAAATAGGAAAGTAGGGAGGGAGAAAGAGGGGAAATAAATTAAGTGTACAAAAATAACATCAATAACATCCAAAGTTTTCTCAGCTTTGCGCATTAGCTCCCTATCTGTAAGTGGAAAGGGGAGCTATGTCTCAATCATCCAATGAAGTCTTGAGTCAACCATACAAAAGCTAAATACTGTACATTTACCCCTCACACCATTAAACACTTTAGTTTCAATAAGGTTTTTGTAACAATCTATTACTCAGAGGTGAAAAGCTCAGATCTTTGAAATACAGATGTTTTTGTAGATATTTTTTTAATACTTAGTCCAAGGTTAAACCATGCCTTTCCTGTTTCAAAAACAGAAAAGTACAGTATTAAGATCATAGTTGAAGGAGAACCATGTTGAGCTGTTGACCTGAGCATAGAAAGCTTTACATTAATCACACAACATTGGTCAGCCATTGGTATATTCAAATAGGACGGAAAGGCAGTAAGTCACCTTGCCTGAACATATCAAAGCTGTCATAATCTTTTCATAATCATGACACTATTATATCGATGCAAGACAGTTTATCTCAATCAATAAGATTTATATTAAGAAACTATTACTAAACACACACAATGTAAATTTGAGTTTGGTTAAAGTTTTCATATACAGTATAATGGTTGAGTGCTATAAAAAATAGTTTGCCCCGTTCAGGACAAACTGGCCATTATGTTCTGTGCTATTTGGGCTGTTATCCACTAAAGGAACATACAAGGTATACATGTACAACAGAAGACTTATCATTGGCTTGTGGTGGGTGAAGCTGCATTTTGGCACCGTATCAGTCTATTGGTTATCGGCTCACTTTTGCCAGCTGGAGATCTCACCCATTCACCGTACAGACGTCAGCTCTGCAGTTTGCTATTGAAAACAAACGTGTTGAAACTAAATCCACAGACATGTAAAATTTTGGTTACGAGCTTTGGAATCTGAGTCAGTCTTTACAAAAGCTCTTTGTGAATACCTCCGTCTACTTCAAGGATATTTTTCCGTTGTTTTTTTTTTATCATCTTCATCATCTTCCACCGTTAACTGCTTTGTTTTCCTTCAAGTTTATCTTTTGGAGCGCTCTATTTACACTAAAATCTCTTTGACAATTTCTTATCCAGCCTCTTACAGACTGGCACTACATGCTACACAGCTAGTCATCTAGCACTGTCTGGTGGAGGGCCCACTGTGAGTCTGTCATGCAGACTGAGAGGTAGACTGCAGGTCTAGCTGGGCAGTGAGGTCACATACTTGGAGAATGCTCTTTGGCCTCTGTGGCATCTGGTTGGTTTTTATCAAGGTGGTTGTTTGGTTGTAGTAAGGTGTTTGACGGAATAGGGAGAGGAGTTCTTTTCAACAAGAAAGGACGGACCAGGAAAGAGTTTAGGAACAATATGAAAAGGGGAAAGCTGTGGTACAGAAGACTTGGTTTGGGCTCTCTCCTGCTTTCAGTTGAGAGTTTCTCTTTGGGCCACTGTGGCTCGGCATCTTTGGGGTGTTTAGGATACAGGTTTGGCAGCAACGTGGACAGGGTATGTTTAGAGGTTGACAGCAGTTGCAGAAGGGGTTTTGAGGAGGATGTAGTAGATCGAAGCAAAGGGGCCGTCGTCAGCCTCTCTAAGCTCTGTCTCTCTCCCCCACGCCTGCGGACAGCTCGGCCTGCTCCCTCTCTGCAGAGTCAGAGCTCAGACTTCTGGCCCTCTTCTCCTTAGCTCTGGCGTTCTGGAACCACACCTGCAGAAAAGATATGTATAAATAAATTAGCTGTTTCCCATTAAATTAATTGTTATTAAATTATCATTTAAAATCTTTAATAAATGCAGATCAAACTGCATTTTACCATTAATAATTATTTGAATCATTTACCTGCACCACTCTGTGAGGCAGTCCCAACTCCTGGCCCAGCCTTTCACACTCATGTCGGTTGGGGGTTCGGTGGCTCCTATAGAAGTCTCGGAGCTGGAGTACTTGGAAGTGGCTCATCTGTGTCCTCTGTCGCTGCTGCTGGTGTTGGTGCTGTTGCAGACTTTGCATTTCACCCCAATCTGAGCTGGGACCCCCAGATCCCTCCGGACTAGGAGACCCTTGATCAGCCGTACTGGAACCTTCATCACATGGGTACTCATCGTCATCTTCCTCATATTCATCATCCTCCTCAGGGTTGTTCAGATCAGTGGTTGAAGACAAAGAAGTCATCGGAAGCTTCATAGACAACTCTTTGTTCATGATGCCATAGCCCTGGTTTGGGATGAGGTCGGACCTAATAGATGGACCTGGTCTATCCATGATAGATGACAAGGCCATCCCAGTCTGCCCATTGGATCCATTGCTCATTGATAAGTTGTATCCGGCTCTTTCAGCCTCGGCCCAGTGGCGTGACCTCATATGGGCATCCAGAGCACTCTTTACCTTGAACAGAGCCCTGCAGAATGGACAGCGCAAGTGGTTCAAGCCCAAGCTGAAGCTGGATCCTGGCCCCATTGATCGGAACTGTCCTTTTCTTTCTCTGGCTCGCGTATTCTGAAACCACACCTGTAAAGAAGCGTTAAGCATGTTTTAAAATTCAATATAGACTAAAGCATTAAGTAATTGTTTATGCCTTGCATTTCCCTAAGAATTCGCACATGTTTAAACAAAAGAAAATCCATAAAATACCTGTACCACACGTCTTGCAAGGCCTACTTCTCGTGCAATGCCTTCCAGGACTCCTCTTGTTGGGTTTGAGTCCATGCTGTAGCGCTGATACAACACTTCAAGCTGTTCAGGGGTGATGGTGGTCCTCTGGCGCTTATCCCTTCGGTGATCCTCCTCAATCTCTCTACTACTCCTTTGGCTTTCAAAACTAGTCTCTGACAAAAGCTTTGAACTTTGTTTCATGGGTGACAGGGAACTCTGAGAAAGGCTGGTAAGGGGGTTACTGGAGTGATCAGAGAGTGTGTTTTGAATTTGTAAGCTGTTTAGGTGGGAAATCATGGGATGTGTGGGATTAGGATGCATCTGGGACATAGCACCAGAAAGCATTTGGCTGGCCATCAGGGTAGAGTTAGGGTGTAGCATCATGTAAGGCATGGTTCGTTCTGAAAATCCAGAGTGGAGAAATTGGACCTGGGACTGAGCTGCCAGGAGGTGCCTGGTCTGATGCTCCTGCCACAGTTGGATGGAGGGCAAGGTCACTGGGCAGAGACTGCACTGGAACTGAGCCTGGGGTTGTGGTTGGATCTGGTTGTTTAGCTGAGTTTCAGTGGATGGAGCAGAGGAGGCATCAGGCAGCCTAATGAGGCTTGTTTCAGATTCTGGAGAAGCAGGAAAACTAGGTGGTGTATCAGCTGGCTTTTCAACAGCTTGATCAGAAGAAGGGCTGTGTGTCTGCATCTGGCTGGAACGAGCTGTGGATTCAATGGAGGAAACCATTTTGTGTAAAGAGGAGGAAGAGCAAGGCTGGGGGGCTTCTGAAATAGTTGCTGGTTGCAGTTTGAGCTCAGGTTGTGGAGAGGACCCTGTTTTCATCATTTGGACCGTTTCTTTACGTTGGATATCTGCATCTGAAATTCCATTTTGAGTTTGCAAAAGAGGTGAGCTCTTGCTAGCCTGGAAATATATTGTTTTATCTTCTTGTTTCCTATTAACAGGCATTGGTTCACCTTTGGCTGTTAAATTGTCACTTTCTGTGCAGTGAGAGGATGAATCAAGGGCAGGTGAGTCAGGGTTGGTATAATACTCATAGGTCAGATCCATGGAATTTTCATTGTGAGATTCACTTTGTCCTTCACAGCTGTTTTCATCATCATCATTCTTGGAGCTGCCATTTCTCTGTCTGTGAAGGTTGTCAAGCTGGTTGTTCCCCTCTAAACGGTCTTCTGTCCCCCTGTCTTGATGTTTGCGGGCTCTCTGCCTTGCATTTTGGAACCATACAACAATGATTCTGTTAGGGAGGGACAACAAAGTAGATAACCTGTCATATTCTTCCTCTCTGGGGTAGGGGGTTGCCTCAAACACCCCCTGCAGGGTCTCCAGCTGTTGCTCCGTAAAGCGGGTTCTTGAAGAGCGTCGGCCCCTATGAAACTCTACTCTCTCTTGGTCTGTTGTCTGGGGCTCTTGGGGGTTATTGGTTGGAAGGGCTGGGGACAGTGAACATGGGGAAAGTGGCAGAGCCTTGTCTTGTGCTACTTCTCTCGTCTCCTCCAGTGCTGTGGTTGGTGGGTTGTTAAAATTGTACGGGGAATCCTTGTCTCGCTGGCGCTCTTTAAATAAGGTGTTGCGAAACCAATGTTTTATGACTTTATGCGCCAATCCTGACAGAGCAGACATTGTGTTGATCTCTTCATCACTAGGGAGGGTGTTAATATCAAAGTGTTTCCTCAGAACAATCAGTTGATCCTCAGAGATACGGGTGCGTGTTCGCTTACCCTGTTGTTCGAGTGTTGATGGGCTGACTTGGGGTTGCTGTCCTGTTTGGAGGGGGCTTGGTTGAGATGGTTGACCCAGCAGTGCAGAGTTGAGTTGTGTTAGCTGACCTTGCAAAGAAGGGCTGAGCTGTTGCTGCTGCCCTAGCAGTGCTTGGTTGAGCTGAGATTGGAAGAGTTTCGCAAACTCAGGGTTCACACTTGAGTCTAACCACTGCTGGGACTGGAAACCTGCAGACTGCATCATAACTGAAGGCAGGAGATCCATGGGAAAAGGAATGTGGGGTAGGGAAAGCATTGGAAGCTGAGGCAAGGAAAGAGGAAGCATTTGCATTGTAGATAAGGTAAGAGGCATTGAATTTGCTGTGGATGTGGTTTCAGAAGTAGCTGTCGCAGATGTTATGGATGCATCTTGTTTTGGAAATTGTTGAGGTTGAGAAGGAAAGAGAGGAGGGGAAGGCGTTGGGCCTTTAGGTGTTAGGTCTGTAGCTTGAGGAAATGTTTTGGTTATGGGATCTGAAAATGAAGGTACAGGGGAGGGTGACATGCTTTTAACTCGGGGCATAACTGGTTCTGCTGCGGGATCTGGTTCTGGTTCTGAGGATGTTACTGGGGCTGCAGCTAAAGTAGTTGAATTCTCCCCAAATGTAGGCTGCGTAAGAGGGTACATCTGGTCATACTGAAGCCTGTATTCTCTAGAAAACCTCTCCAGTGCAGGTGTTGGAATCAGCATCCTATGAATGTACTCCCTGTGGCTTTTTAAAATCAAGGCATCTGAAAAAAACTTGCCACAGTCTGTACACTTTTCCCCTTTTCCACAACATGCTTTCTCTTTTTTGGGGGCTTCTTCATATTTCACCTTTTTCTCTTGTGGCAAACTTTCTGTCTCTTTATTGCCCTCTGCTTCTTTGTGACTCTTGTTAGAGCTTTCAATCTTTTCATTCTGTAGTCCACCTAACTTAACTCTTTGTTCTTCTGAATATGCCTCCATCTTGTTGATATCAAAGCAGTCCTGTTCTGGGATCATATGAGTTGATATCTGCGGCTGGTGTCTGTGTCTGCTTTGTATATATTGCAGGGCCAACTCATGTCCATAACTCTGCAGCAGGGCTCGAAGAGGCTCCCCATTCACAGCAGCGTAGGGGACTCTGGGAGGAGGACACTGTAATCCATGATCATTAAATGAAGAAGAATCGGTTTCATCCTTCTGACTTTCATTTTTGACAGTAGGACCAGGCCTTTCTTCTTTTTCTCCCTCAAAACTAAAATTGCTCTGTTCTCTTCCTGAATGGTTGTTGGCTGATCCACTGAAGCCAGTTTTAACGTTGGCTTCACACTGCACATGATCCATAAATTGGCTTACAACTGCGTTTGAACTTTGTGTCTGGGTTGGTTTCTCTTCTATTTGATGTTGGAACTCCCTTTTTATTTCTGCCTTTATCTGTTCTTTTGGGATGGAGTTGGCACATACTAGCTGACTAAGTTCTAGGCTTTTAGCATTTAACTCTGCATTAAGATGCATGTCTCCAGATAAGTAAAAGGGCAAAAGAAGTTGCTGCTGCAGAGAGAGCAAGCTGTCTGGTGCCAGAGAAAAGTGTTGTTTAAGAAGATTCTCTGTCCCAAATGGAAGTTGCTGCATCAGTTGAGACTGGAGCAGAGCTGTGTGTTGTTGTAACTGAACTTGAGCCTGTGCCTGAGCCTGGGCTAACTGTTGCTGTTGTATTAGCATTAGCTGGTTTCTTGATGCTATAAGTTCAGCCACTCTCTTTTTAGCCTGCCGGCTGTCAGGTGTTTTTGAACGGGTTTGATTGGCATCGGCTGCTAAGCCAGGGCCTAATAGTAAGGAGGTTGAAGAGCCCACAACGTCTGCCCGTTTGGTAAAAGGCTTGGATGTTTCTTCTCTGGTGGTAGCAGCTTGGGTTACAGTAGTAGACAGTGACACTGAAGAAGCTACAGTAGATGCTGGGGTCTGTGGAGCTGAGTTCTTGGCAGCACGAGCCCTAGTTTGATGAAGGACAGAGCGAAGATGTATGTCCAGTGTAGAGCTCTGGCTATAGCCAACTCCACACAGTCTGCAGCGGTAGGGCCTAGGATCTGGGCCACGGGGCGCCTCAGGGGCAGCAACACCTGTGCCAGAGTCCTGCAGGGCTCGTCTGGCTCGGTGGAGATGGGACACAGAGTTATAGTGGACCAAAAGAATGGTTTTCTGGGTAAAAGATTCAGAGCATATTGTGCATTTATAGGGCCTGGTTGGATCCAGATAGCGGTCCATTGTGGGGTTAGAGCTCCTTTTGAAAAGAGAGCTGGAATTAGGTTCTGAAATGATCTCCTCGTGTGGCCCTTTCTCTGGCTCAGTTACATCCTCCTCATCTCCATCAACTTCACCAATTATTGCCTTCTCTTTCAATTGTACTTCTTCTTTTTGTTCCTCCTTTACTTCCATGCCTAGTGCCTCTTCCTCTATCTCTTCATCCTCAGCCTCTCCTGCTTCTTCACCCACTTGAGGGGATAAACTTAAATGTTGTAGGACTGAACTCTTATTGTGCTCCATGTATTGAGCAGTGTGAGTTGGTAAGAGTGTATTCGGCCCTTGTGACCCAAGCTGTGAGTGTGTGTTCTGCATGTGTCTCTGCAGGGCCTCCTGACTTCGGCATTGTCTAGAACAGAGGGGGCACTCTGTCGCCGCCCTCATGGCATGGTACTGCCAGTGCAGCTGGAGCTTCTCCTGAGTGGGGAACGCCAGGCTGCACCTGCTGCAACGGAACCGGTAACCATGGCGATCAGAAAGAGGAGGGGTGTCACCAGGCGGGGACGTGGGCGGGGAGGAGGGGGGGGGTCTGAATTGGGGACTGAGAAGTCAGTCTGCTATTGGAAGGGTGAGTGGTGTTATCTTCTAAGGGTGGGGTGAGTAGAGCTGTGACATCTTTGGGTGCGGCTACATCTCCCTCAGTGTTTTCCACTGAAATGCCTGAAAAATGCATATAAAATGGTAAATGGTAATAGTACAAATCAAATTTAAAAGAATGCCAAGAAAACATGTTTCCCACAAATGAACATGAAATAATTAGGAATTCACATCTCCTTAAGTAATATCTAACTTATGGTCAGATTTATAATGCAATTTATACCAACCTTTGTTTTTCTGTAAATCATCTGAGATAAAGGAATCAGCAGTTTGGGAACAATTTGCATTGTTATTCTTGGTGTTTTTAATTTTCTGACTATCATCTTTCTCTGGTTCCATCTGCACCTGAGCCTGTGGTTGTTCCGTAGACTTTGTGACCTGCAAGAAAAAAAAAGCCTGTCAATTTTGATTTTATCTTTTTGGGGGGGGGGTTATTTCTAGTAACACTAAGTGTTATTTTTACTTTCAGACTGAAAGAAAAATTGGGTATTAGCATATTTTCTTAATCCAACATTATGAATAAAACATTTAATTGTAGAGCATAATAGCAAGCAAATATCAAGATGTATAAACATGAGTGCCTCCACACCCTGTCCTAATATCATAAAACATTAAAGTGTGAATCTGTAAGTGTATTGTTACATCTTGCACCTGCCTGCACAGCAGTAGCGACAGAAAGGCCCATCAATTTGGTAATAAGTGTATATGGCTGAGATATGTGGGTCTGCCCTTCAGCTCCTATGAAACCCTCCAACATGCCCCAAGGGTTTAATAAAACTTTACTGAGCTGAATAATGAATTTATTTAAAATCATTCTTCATATAGAAAACCTCCATCTCCACAGCTTCGAGCACTGAGAGAAAATACTATATCTATGCGAACAGCTAGCTACCCTTAGGAAAGGATGGACAGCAAAAGATGAGATTTACATGACAAGAGTTTTCTCTGCTTAACAGCTTCATATGATAGAAAGAGAAGAACAACCACACACACACACACACACACACACACACACACTGCAGAGAAAACTGAAGGTCAGGCTTAATCTAGAGAGCGTAATTGGAAAGCAAGGTACATAATGGCCATCATCACCTCAGTCTGAATTAATGAACCTCAATTACTATCAGAGAGAGTGAGGGAGGGGCAGGAGGGGAAGGAGGGAGGACGATGGTGGGGGGGGGGTAGAATATGAAAAAGAGAGAGAGCACGGAGAGGGGAGGGAGAAAGTATGGGGCAATGAACAAAAAAAACTGCTTCAGAGAGAGAGTGAGCAAGGGAGGGGTAACGCATAAGAAATTGAGAGAGAGCTTGGGAGAGACAGAAAGGGAGGGGCAGGGACAGAGATTGCTGAATAGGAATGATAGGAGTAGCTGGAGGGGGGAGGGAGGGACAGCAGAGGGGAGAAAGGGTGAAAAGCAGTCAGTCAAGTGGAGGCGAAGAGCGCAAGAGACAAAGGCCACTTAGCATACGGGCCAGGGAGATGGAGGATGGTGATGTGGATAGATGACCAGTCTTTGTTAGTTGGAGAGACACAGTAAAAAGCATGGGGGCCCCTTTTTAGCTTGACTGCACTTCTGGTAATAGAGGGCTACTTAAACATGCATTATAGAAAGACTGGCTTTTCCCTCACTCACTCAGTCAGACCCTCTCTCTTCCACTTTAAAAGTCGCACATACACATACACACAAAATGCACGGCTGCATCAAAGATGATAGCGGGGAGCTACTTAAACATGCATTAAAAAAAGCGCTGCCTTTCTCTCTGGTGCCTTCTTAATGGAATTGTCTCCCTACATTTCACTCTCCCCCATCCCCCAACGCTTTGCCTTCTCGTTTTCTTTTGCTTCCTGACAAACGCAAATACAACAAATACACACTTGCATACACTTACTGCGCTGATGAGCTTGTCTACACAGTCCTGCGCCACACTGTGCACATGTGAGAGATGCTGTCGGATGTGAGTGTGGGGGATTTTCACCTGGCACAAAGGGCACTGGACAGTCTAAAAGAGTTGAGAGACGAGAGGAAAGAGAAGTGAGAAAAATGGTTTAAATAGCGTTGAACTGGACAACTAAAAGACTGCATGGGTTCTTGGAATTACACAAAAACAGCATGTTTTTTTTGGTTGTTACATTTGTGGACATGAAAAACGTAGACATGCTTAAATTATTAAAATGTGTGTCAGCTGCTCACCTGCTGGTTCGGATTTTGCTGGTGTATTCTTGGGCGTTTGGTTAATATTGAGTTTTCCATTTCCTCGCATCCAGAGGCTGGACGCTTGACTGAGAGCAGTGACTCCCGCTTCTCTCTTTCCTCCTCCCTGGTTTCTACTTCAATTAAAATGTAACATGACCACGTTAACAGATTGATATTTACAATGTATGTAACATACAAGCATCATGCTATCATTTGAAATCATGCTATCATTTGATATGTTGTATATTGTGTTGAATTGTAATACATGTATAAGCGGCCTCACCTGTCTCCTCAGAAATCTGCATCGCCTCCAAGGTATAACTGTCTTTGGTTGTGTCCAAAGGACCAGTGGTGATCTCACTGGAAATGTCCAAATCGTCACTGAGCTCTCCTGGGAGGGTAAATGACAAATAATTATGCTACAAAAACATTGTGCCTCAAACAATATATTCACAAATGATCATGCCCATTGTTTGTATTATCCTTTAGATAGAATCCTTCAAAAAGGCCGATGTGTTTGGACCACACTTCATCCGTCTTACTTTCCTCCATACGCTATTGATCAAGTATTGATTCTCCATTAGATTCTCCTCTGAGGTGGAGTAGAGGTAATATGGACTTACAACACATCAGTTCACCTCGATAAGTCTTAATTTGCACATAGACAAATCACAGAATATATTTAATTCAAAGCTTAAGTGTTGAACTACTAATTTTAGAGTTTGTGCCAGCAGTTCAGTTGCTCCAGACAATGTCAATTCAGTGTCTCTTTAACAGACCACAGACTGGTGACCAGCCCCCACCTCCCCCATTCTTATCCAGGGGATTTGTATTGGTCCATTGATTAGCAGGTGCTAGTTAGCTGTTGTCAGGGGTTATTGGGGATATAACAAGGATGTGTATCGACAAATCAATTTACTTGATCAATATCTCAGCAACAGCCATTACATGTTCTCCCTCTTTTCATCTTAATCCCCTGTCTGCTCACTGATGTCAGCAACAGCAACAGCACGTGCAACATGAAATCTAATACAGCCAAACGGTTCATATTCTCACCTGTGACACCATCAGGTCTTTTCCTGATGGTAAAAATGGCTGCCAGCTCCTCCCCGCCTAATGGCTGCAGCTGTAGTAGCCCTTCCCTCTGCTGATGGATTGGGGTTTGACTGTGTTTCAGTACTTGGAGTTTAGAAGAGGAGGAGTGGTTACATAAAAGACAATGGAACAGCCACGAACCTCCATCAACCTCTCCATCATACTGCCTCAGGAACTAAACGTAATGAAGTAGACAGGAGAAAAAAAAGATTATTATTGAACATTTTATAAATGATTGGAGTTTGTTTCAAATGCTTGAGTTTTTAATGAGCGTGTACTGACTCGGTAAACCCGGACACTGGCCTCATGGTGTGAATTGAGGGAATGTCCTCGTAGCTTGTCAAAACTGCTGGTCACGTAGTCACACAGGTTGCACCTCAGCTGGACTGGGTTGCCCTTAGCAATAAGGGCAGCCCCCTCCTGACCCCTGTCCCCTCCCTCCTGTAGGTGAGCAGCCAGCTGGTACCGGGTGCGGTGTCTGTCAGTCTGACAGTGCAAGGAGAAGTTAGCCCTCAGCGGGGTGGTGTAGCCGCACAGCCTGCAGTGGCAGCCTCCAGCAACGAGGGAGCACCACTCAGACTGGGGCAGGGAGCGAGGGGCGTTCAGGTGCTGCTCCACAGACTCTAAGCTGTCGGACGAAAAGCAGGAGCAGACAAGGCATTGAAACACACCCTGGGAGAGGGGTTCAGTGGGGGACATAGATGAGGCTGGAGGGGGAGAGGGGGAGGGGGAGGGAGAAGGGGTCAGTGTAGACCCGAGGGCGACTGGCTGATCTGCGACTTGTTGACTGGTCAGTCGCATGTTTAAGGAGAGCTCGGCACCTAGGAAACAGAGAGGTCTTCTGTGAGAATGTTCATGTATTTAATATTTTTTAATTGGATAACAGCAGGCAATGCATTACTCACCTGGGTTTTGTAGGTGTTTCAGCTGCGGGGCTAGACTCCTGCAGTGAGACAGATAGTAACCTCTCTGGAGCCGTAGCATATTATGTGTGTGTTTCTCGCTGGTGGTGTGTATGCGCAGGTTGCGGGCAATGCTGGTCTCATAGTCGCACACATCACACCGCCACCGCTTACCGTGAGAGTGAGTGTGTGCAGGTGGTGTGAGCTTAGTGGGCTGGGGTGTAGGTGTGGGGGTAGAGAGTGGGGGTTTGTATGCTGGCTCATCCACTGTGTGACTGTCGGAGGAGCTGCTGTTGTTGGTAATGAGAGGAGTCTGCATGTGACCGTTGGAGAGTCCACCGCTCTGGACGTTATTAAGGTGTTTATCCGACTGCATGTGTATGCTGAGGTTGCCTTTCGATGAAGTAGCATAGTCACACACCTCACAGCGGTAGGGCTTGTAGCCACAGGCGTAGGTTTCGCCACGGGCCAAGCGAGGATGGGGTTTCCCGGAAGTGCAATATCCACACACACCTCGCGTTGCACCGCCACACACACACTTTCCCCCGGAGGCGCCACACACACACTGGCCTCCCGTCTCTGGATGTTTCTCTTTCATGTGGACTTGCAGTGTGTGCTGAGACTTATAGTGCCAGTTACACTTGGGGCATTTCAGCGTCTTGCAGGAGTTACGCGAGTGCATTATGGTCATGTGACTGGTCAGTGAATTAGGAGAGAGGTCTTGGTTGAGGTTTTTAAGGACAGCGTCTTTCTGTTCTTCGTCTTTGTCTCTCTCTTCATCCACGTCTGTGTCTAGCTGGCTGTCATTTGGTTCTGGAGCTTTGGCACCATCTCTATCGGAAATGGAAGAGTGAGGAACCCCTGCCGACCTATCCTCATCCTCAGCAGGTGGACTGGCAGGCTCCGTGCATGCCAGTGGGAAAGCCATAGTAGACTGCTGGGAATTAAAGCTCTGAGGAAACCCAGAAATCCAGCCCTGATCTCCCTTAATGTCTTTTACCTCTGTCTCGCTCAGCAGGGCAGAAGAGGAGGACGGAGAAGTGAAGTGCTTTGGAGAGGTGGAAAGAAAAGGGGAGGGCTCTGGAGAGGTGGAAGGAGTGGGGGAGGGCTTTGGAGAAGCGGCTATTTTGCTGTCGTGGTTGCCACTGGCCTTTGCCGTGCTGGAAGAAGAGCTGTGCTGGCTCTGTTGAGGTAATAAAGAACATTTGGATTTGGTTTGGCTTTGGTTTGAGATGGCCTCCTCCTCTTCCTCCTCCTCTTCCCCTCTGCTGCTAAGGACTGCTGGAAGGCCCCCTGTAACTGACGCCTCTTCTACACCTACACGCACCTCCCCTTCTTCCTTTCTTTGCCCTGACAAATGTCCCTCCCCGGAATCTTCCTCCATCCCCTGCTTTTGACACGCTTCATTCTGCTGTGAAAGTCGGCCTCCTTCTTTCTGCTCTCCTCCCTGGGTCTCTTCTCTAGCCTGGGACCCCTCTGCGCCCTCCTCTTCCTGCTGAGGCAGGGTCAGGGGCTCTTTGGCAGGGGCCATGGCTGAGGTATGAGAAGATGACCCCTGCTCTGGAATGACCGCTTGGGTCAGGAGAGGAAGAGATAAAGCCTGGGGACTGAGGTCAGCATCTCTCTCCTCTCCTCCCCCTCCATCCCCTCCCTCACCGCTGTCCATACCAGAGGCTACAGATGCCAGGCATTACTACCCCACCTGTGTTTCAGATACAGAGAAAGAGAGAGCAGGATAGACAGAGACAGAAAAAAGTGAAGGGGAAAAAAGAGGAGAAAATTAAATACATGAGTCATGTAAATAATATTGCATAACAGTTGAGGCCATTGATCACAGTCCCTGGATAGCATCTGTTCAATACTGCCTTCACAGTGCGCAATACAGAGGCTGGTTACTCAGGGGTTAGCGTTAGCCCTTAATGGGAAAATCAATAGCCTGAGCGCTAAACTAGGTAGAGGAATGCGGGTAAGGGCTACGCAGGAGGTCTATGATATTTCTCAGGGGATAGGATTAAATAAAGAACCGAATGCTTCGGAGCTAAAGGGCTTCTACTAAATTGCCACACTTAGATAAAAGCAGATAAAAGAACCGTTTTTAAAGCCAGTGTATCAGTCTCTGCATAATTTGCTTTGTATTGGGACGGAAATATTATGAGAGGAAAGGCATCTCTGTTTAGTAGAATCCATTTTCTAACACGCAGTGAAAACACAGGGGGTGGTCACAATTCAATAAACACCTGGATAATCTCATTTGTTTCCAAATACAATAAATAATTGGATGAGTTTATGTTCTTTTTTGTTGACAATGTTGATTAGAATCTGGTAATTTATGAGGTAATATTTAATGGTGTTGCAGTACATTGTTTATATTTCTCCTCTCATGTGTGTTTAACATTGTTACACCTCCTGTAAATCCCATTTCCTATCAACACACAGTGATAGGTTTTTGTAATTGACTAATGTTTTATGTATCGTGCATTTATAGTTAAGGATTGTGTGTTGAAAAATGAATAGCAATGTTGAATCATTCTCTATTTTAAGAATGCATTTCTTACTTGCTTTTGAAGTAGTCTGGTTTTAATAAAACTAACAAAGGGCAATGATGTTTTTATCATACACAGATGACCATAAACATTCATGTTATTCATTTAAAATTAAAGAAATTAATCAATGAGGTTTGACAAAGAATTGTAATCATAAACACAATCATGCATCACTGGAGTCTTCCCTAAAATTAATAAACCGGGCCTCTCCTTGTCTGTTTGTCGCTGACAGATGGATGCCAGATGAGACGGATACATCTCTCACTCTGTGTGTCCCACAATCTCATTACTGACCTTTTTTTAATCAAGAAGAGACCTTAATGTACCCTTTCACCTTCTCCTTCTACCAACCACCCCCTCCTCCCCCTGCTTAAACACCCTCTCTCCGTCTCTCCTGTAGCCACCTCCTCTCCCCTCTCTGCACCTTAAAAGATATATGGCCATATCGGCACTCTGATAGTGCTTTAATGTACTGTGTTTATGTCACAGGCCACAGACCCTTGCCCACTGCAGCTGTCCACTGTCCCGCCGGATAGTGCTGAGGGGCTGAGCCTGACTGCCAGCAGCTGAGAACAGCCTCTAATCTGATAAAGATTTTCATTTACACTGCAATCAATAACCTGGGTCTATCGGCAATGTAACTATTTATACAAACATTCCTGGCTCTCTATTGATCCCAAGTGCGGGAAACCATCATTTAACAATGTGTGTGTGTGTGTGTGTGTGTGTGTGTGTGTACATCTCTGTGTGATAATGTAGGTAAATCCTGTTGTGCACTGCAAACTGATTTGTGTAATGTCAATTACAGTATGCATGTACACATGAAACACCTGAAATTAGATTAAATAATGAAAATATTAATAACAAATACATATTTGTTGTTGGGGCTGAATAGAAGCAATTCTGCAACATAACATGTTGATCAAACAGCTAAAGGAAAGTGGGAATATCCATAGGTGTGTGTGTGTGTGTGTGTGTGTGTGTGTGTGTGTGTGTGTGTGTGTGTGTGTGTGTGTGTGTGTGTGTGTGTGTGTGTGTGTGTTTTAAGAATAGAGAGAAAGGGGTGTGAAGGTGAGATCGAAAGACACCAAGAGAAGAGTTGTGTGGCTATACTTTAAGAAAATTCATTTAGTTTGTCTTTAAAGGACCTGGACAAATGTAGGTGGACATGGACAAATGCTGTTTTGAATGCAACTGTTCTGCGTGAGGACCCCGAACACAGCCATACTCAAGTCTAAAGGTACATTTTCATTATTTTGGGTACCATGCAAATAGAGAATACCGGACATGCAGCGACTTGAAGTTTACTCCCTGCCCCTGTCTGTGTTGTCAAGTCACTGACCAACACTCAGCCTGCAGACTACTTGAGCCTTTGTTTACAGTGGACCGCACCGTACCACACTCCGATTCAGCGAAACCAAGAGTGATCGCGTTCAGTCCCCAGTAACAGGTGACTCAATGCACTAGCAGATCAACAAAAGCTATATTTGTGCGATTTACAGGCTGCTATAAGCAAACACCCCTTCCTCCCCACCGCCGGGTTGCTTCCTCCCGTCCCTTATAATATCGTAAACAAATGGCAGACTTACATTTCTTCAGCGGCTCTGGTACAAAGCTCCGTACGCTCAGTGTGTAGTAGTCCAGAAAACAATCGTATAGAGAGCCCACTCATTCCTTATGAATGATCCTCTGCGTTTGTACGGAGCCAGGAGGAAAAATGGGGAGAGGGAGAGAGAGCAGCGGGGTCCAAGTTGTTACCAAACAACAGTGTAATTAAAGCTACATATAGGCTGTAGTAAACAGAAGATGGGGGACGGAGGGGTTTGTGCGAGCTCCAGAGGTAGAATGAGTTCTGATCACTGTGGGGGGAAAAACACTTGGCTCTTTATTCCTGCTAATTAGTTTCCTTCAAAAAATGGCTGAGATTACGCCCAGTGCGCATGTGCGTAATTGCGCAGACACCGCTAATTAGCCCGTTTGGATCAATAGGATTCCGCGAGAGAGAGGGAGGGAGGGAGGAAGGAAGGAGGGAGGGAGGGGGAGAGGCTACAGAGGACGCATAAAGAGGACAAGGAGGAGAGAAGAATATTTTAAAAGTACGAGAATTTACAACAAGAACGATTATTATTTTATTACAAATATAATATTGTCGCTGTAAAATTGCAGGTATACGGTACATTTAAGATGGATGTTAAGACAATTCCCAGTTGGTATAAAAAATCAAAGATAAAACAATATCGCAAAAAAAAATCTCTAGATGCACCAACATACACGATTAAATACGAGGAAGTACAATAATGTTAAAAAGTCAACTAAGACAAAAAAAACAATAGGCTTTAAGAAGAATATTATGATGCCAGAAAATCTGCAACAAAATGCGTCACATTCACGGTGATTCACTATCGAGCACATTACAAGGCCCCGGAGGATTCTTTTATTATTTAAGTATTATATTGACATTTTGTTCTGATAAAAAGACAAAAGACGCTCAAATTGTAGTTTAATGTTCCAGACCTATCACATTATATTAATGAAATATACACGTGTATATGTGATAGCACTCTTGCTTTAAAAAAGTTTGTTTCCTTCAATTGCAAGGTTTATGGCAGACACATATTCACATCTTACAAAGAGATTTAAAAATAAAGCGTAAAACATAAAAGTAAAACAATGCTCGCTTGTTTGAATATGAAATGAGACATTGCACCTTTGATGTTTTTTTTAACTGAGGCTGCAGATCTGGGTTTCGGGCGCTGTCTGCTGTTTTAATGTTCTCACTTTGGAAAAATAAAAAAAAAAATTAATTCTAAATTGATGTGTCCACTGGTGTGCTCGTCATCACGGAAGACCTTTGGGTTTTTTCCTGCTCCGGCCGTCCCATCCTCGCCACTCGGGTCTATTGTCATGATAATAGGCTACTATTGTGAATTTCACGCTGGATGTGCAATCTGTCGATCATCCATATTTTAGAAGGTGAATACTGCATTTATTTGTAAGATCAAATAGTATAATTTTACTTTATTTGGTCTCACATTGTCCTTATTTAGGAATTGTGTAAATATAATGTTATAAAGGTGTGAAGGTTAACATGTTAAAGTGAAAGTCTATATGGAAAACAATAGGAATATTTTTGTCTTTTGACATAAGATACAAAAAGGATACTATCAGCTCACTGTGGCGCGTGAAACAACCGCATTACAAGGCCATATCGGAATAGTACATGAATATTAATGATATTTCGTTGTGTTGATTTTGAGAGCACTGACATTTTGAATTTGGTTGTTCATGTTCGTCTCATTTTATTTCTTGCATTTGTGCAGGTTTCAAAATGTAAATAATCAATTCATGGGCCCATTAGTGTAGTGCCAAATGATTTGGACTACGTTTGTAGAATATTCAATAATTATTTTACGATTTGAAAACGTGTATACCGATTGTCTGTCCGGCTCATGCCACCAAGTGAAGATTGCAGGTTTTACATAAATCAGGGACTGTTTTGTATGTTTACGCCTACATGGATTTGTTCTGTTGTTCTTATGGTTGCAGTTAGAACAGGGACAGTTGTATGTCTTTTTATGGGCAGCAGACAATGACAGTGAATGGTGATATAATTGTAACGTTAGTCAATATAAAAGGTGTGTGTGTGTGTGTGTGTGTGTGTGTGTGTGTGTGTGTGTGTGTGTGTGTGTGTGTGTGTGTGTGTGTGTGTGTGTGTGTGTGTGTGTGTGTGTGTGTGTGTGTGTGTGTGTGTGTGTGTGTGCTAGGTGTGCTTTTATGGTTTAGGATAAAAAGATAATTTAACCTAAAGCAAAATGGGGATCATGTGGTTACATTTAAATACTAATTACATATGAAATTTGTACTTCCCTTACGTAAAAGGAAAACTGCAACTTCATCTTCATCCTCAACACATTTACACTAAAAGGCTATGGAGCAAATTCAAGTATTCAAATCATCCATTTTTAATTTGCATCACTTGGTTTTGTTGAACATTTCCATTTGTTTTTGCTAAATCATTTTTGGCCCCTTAAATACCAATCACACATTTGATTTCAATTCTAACTTCACATGGTAGGAATATGTCACATAGTAAGTTTACAATTAATATACATGGAAAACACAGTACTCTCTGAGGCAGTCATCACATAAATTCACATTTTTACACAAAAGAATAATTCTCCCCGGTTATACGCCTCGAGAAGGTCCAGCACAGATATTAAAGGAGACGCTCTCCCTGACTGGCTCTGCGAATTCATTTCCGTTGTGATAAAAATAGAATTCTAATATTTTACTGATATTAAACCTCTTATGTGAGTGTACGTTAACAAGTTTCACACACACACACACACACACACGCACAAACACACGTCTTTGCACACTCAAAATTGCACAGGCCGTACTGTAAGACACACCATGCCCTCAGGTGTATGCCAGGGGTTGTTGTTTTCACTGTAATATATAGTTAGCCCTTCCACCAATTTACCCTGTCAGTGCTAATGGGGCAATTAACCACCATAATACCCCCCAGGCAGAGGGAGAGCCAAAAGCTCCCCAACTCCAAACTTGTCTTTATGACATTTATTTGACAAAATGTGGGGGAAGCTGGGGACCCATCTGACACCTTGGAGGGTCCTTAATGTCACTCCCTCCCGTGCCCCCGCCCCTTTCTGCCCCAGGGTATGGCACTGAGCAGGCAGCGTGATACATCATGTACAGGAGAGGCCTCGTCCAGCAGGGAGAAAACTTTCTACTCCAAAGCTTCAATGGGGAACTCTGATGTACTTGGTCCCGTCCTGTGTGATTCTTATTACAAACTGACCTTTATCGTAGGCCATACACACAAACACACTTCCAGCTAACACACTCCAACTTGACCTCTCCCTTCATTTATCCTTTTTGGTGTCTATAAGTCCCCCTATCTTTGTCTCTGCTCACATTCCCCCTGTCCTTCTTACATCCCCAAGGAGGCAATAACCTCCCCAGCAAGTGCTTCCCCTTGAGCCGTTGTCATAGTAACTTGTGGACTGGTCGACATGACAACCCCACCATGGTCCAGAGATAAATGATAGGCCAGAAATGGGGAGGGAGACGGCAGATGGGGGGTTTGCACCCCCTTTAATTTGGTTTGCCTGATTCTGATTCAAAATATATTTTTTCTCCCTCTGAGGGTGAGGTTCGTTCAGCATCAACCTGCTTTACATTTATACAGGTATTTACAAATACGGCCGGCCTCCGAGCAACTCCACGATTGTTAGCGGCCTTGCTCTACGGCACCTGGATGGACGTTGCAAAAAATTGTAATGGCAAAAATATTAATGGAAATAAATATTGTGGTGTTTTGTAGTTACGACTGTGCTAGTAGTATTTTTGATGCATATAAATGGTGGTGCAGGAACCATGTATTCCACTAACACTTTTTTGCATTTAACCTAGAGGATGTTTTTGCAGTAACCACCAAATTCATAAGGAGGAAATGCAAATATCAGAAAACCAGGAGCATACAAATATTTATGTATTGAACCCCTCATCCTCCCAAGACTCAATTTCCTAAATCTGAGGACACTACTCCCAGTGCCATGAGTTAAACAGGTTTAGTGCAATTCTCTCCTTCGGCCTGTTACGTGAAAAAGGATTGACTGCCTTTCAGACACAATGCAAAAATGTAAAGCCACTAGTATAGTTGATAGTTGGTCTTAAATATTTTTACAAATATTTTATGTTTTCAGTTAATCAAAACTGGTCTGTTTTTCATTTTTGCTCAGTATGGTCTTTCAAGTGAAACGCTCGGTGAGAAAAACTGTCCCCACTTCAGGGGTCCTGAGCGAGGTAATGAATCCCAAACAGCACCACGGGTGCTGCCCCTCAGCTGACCCTGATCTCTGACCCCTTTGTAGATGATAGCAAACTAAAAGAGATATATTGTTTCAGGATCGATATGTACCATAATTAATCAGGACTATTAAATGCGTATTATGTTTCAAATATATCAAAAGTGTTATATTTAAAATCTACAGACTATAATACCTGAACCGAATAATATACCATTATACCAGACAAGCATTTTGAAACAAAAATGTAAAAAACAAATAAAGACAACTGAATGATAAATGAGTCGAAATCATGGCACCACCCATCGGCTTCATTATTCTATTGGTCAGCCATTTTCTCCCTTCCAACCATGTTAATCAGAAACTGCAATATAAAATGTTGTTTAATTGAAACATTCGAAATGATGTTGTTTGCCAAAATGTAATGGTGTTAACAAATAAAATACTGTACAATTCCCACCCCTCATGTTTGAAAATCTGATAAGACAATGTTGATGAATCACAAAACCTTTTGAGCTCGTGAATTCTTTTTATATGCCCATTAAATTCAGGTTTTATTTTTTTACATTTGTCTTGCTAATATAATGATATAAATGCATGTGTAGTTACAGACTTGTCTACAGACCAGATTTATCAGGAATATATTTGCTCAAGCACTGGATACATACCATGTAACAAAGAAATCCAAATTCGCTCGTGGACAATGACTACATTTCTGGCATAAGAAATCTCGTGCCCCCACAAGTTAAAATATTTCCTTAATATTTGTTTTGATTATTGTGAGTATGATTCATTCGTGTTTCTCATCTGGCCTCCTGTTTCTTGTTTTATTTTGGAAATGTTTGATGTGTGTGCTTGTTTTATTGTTTTGTAGCATCTACCTTTGACAGATACATTTCTCCTTGGGGATCATAAAGAGCATCATCCCGTTTCATCTCATCTCCTCTCATCTCCTCTCATCACCTCTGCTATGGCCTCCTGCAGGAGAACATTAGTAATATTA